CCTATCGATAGGTAACGTTTCTGTATCGAAGAAACTAATTTTATTTACAGTTTTTATAAAAAACAGTAAAACTAATTCCGTTTGTTAAAATGCTAGCTAACTAGTTGAACAATTAAACAGATAGTAATCAAAATTCATGTTTATACAGATTAAAAATTGTTAAAACAACGTAAAAAATATGTTGTTCTCCAATGCTGTTGTTGAAATTAAAACGTTAATAAAAAAACTGAAATTATAATTAGATGTCTGATAGCAAAATTATGTTTACTCTTAATTAATTAATTCAACTAATTTGATTGACTCCTCAAATTATATTCATAAGTTTTAATTAATTTTTCAGCATGTGTGGTAAAACTAGTGGTGTGGTTAAATTAAATATTTTATTTTTAGTGTAAAATTCTACTTTCTGGTCAAATCGATATTAATTTACCATGCTTTTAATATAAAATTGGAAAATGCAGGTTATTTAATTTTTTTAAAACCAAAACGAATTTAGGCAAAGATCATTTAGTCTGCGTCCACAATCCATATGCACCGTACCGGTGGAATGTCTTTGCCCGTTTAAGTTTTTTTTTCCGGCGTTCCTTTTTTAAAATATTCAAATCGAATCACCCAAATTAAGTAGCCATAAACGGAATCAGCTTCCAAATTTGAATATTTCATTCTCACACGAGCGCGCGTTTTGTTGTTCGATTTTTATTTGTGTGCGTTCGTATTTACGTGATACCTTTTATTGTGTGAGTGTATTAGTGATGTTAATTGTTTACGGTTTATCGGTTTACTTGAATCGATTTAAATATAGCACTAGTAAAGCTAAAAATTGATATCGCAAATAAAAACAGATTAGCAAATGTATAACAGTTTTTATTACTTTTATAACTTCATTCATATTTTCCGTGTATCAGTTTTTTTGATAAGCTTTATTGTAACAATAAAATTTTATTGATTAAGGAAATGGACGTAATATCAAGGTGAGTTTAATGTGGCATGGCATAACGCAAATGATCTACAAATAAAATATTAATTGTTAATCAGACTTTAGTGTATCGAATTAAAAAAAATAACTTCGATATCGATAAAAACCTACATAGTCAATCCCTAAACCTTTTGTCGTAGCGCGCCGCGTTGATAAGGTAACATTTTAAATTAGTAGAAGAGAAAAAATATTATAAAAATTTATTTTTTATTTATATTTTATCACGCGAACACAAAACGGGTAGCCGCCTGCTACCAGCGCGGCACCGATATAAATTATATCATTTTTCACTGCGACAACCCGAACGGACGTAAAAAATGACGCTCCATTCAGTTCCAAGTTTGAAAGTTTCGCCGCGCTTTTTATACGTTTCCGGACGATGGGATTCCATTATTAAATATCGAACGATAAACCACCGTTTGATTACAACGCATAAATATGAATACATTACGTGCTGTATAAGACCAGTATGATTCCAATTCCATACAAAACAAGCAATGTATGATACGAAAGTATAATTTACTAATAATTATGAACACTAGTGTTGACCTCGCGTTGACTTTTTTACGATTGCCCTCAAGTCCGAACCGTACCGGATTCTATGGTCAGTAATAATATTGGAATTTATAATTGTGTCTCAGCGCCCATTAGTCAAAAAGGTCTGTGAACTTATAAATAGGTCGGAGTAACAATTAAATTATTTTAGGGTAGTTTATGACGAAACATTTGTTGTGAAATCTGACAGCACGTAAAAGTTAGAGTATTTTAACTATGCAAGTATATTTTTTTAAGTCTTGGCGTTTCAATATCAACCTCGCATCCCGCTATTTACCGTTTACAACTAAACAGCGCAGCGACTATCGTATTAAGAACCACGAAGATTTTCGAAATTTAAAATAAATATTTTTTTTTAACCACGAAGATATTCGAAATTTAAAATAAATATTTTTTTGAACCACGAAGATATTCGAAATTTAAAATAAATATTTTTTTTTTAACCACGAAGATATTCGAAATTTAAAATAAATATTTTTTTTTAACCACGAAGATATTCGAAATTTACTGTAAACTATCGCACAACTGTTGTACGATTGTCGATTATTTTGCTGCCTTCAACTGTTTAGCACAAAACAAATTGAGTAGCGCACCTCCATACAAGCTCATAGGAATCGAAGCAAGACTAAACAGTTGTGCGATAGTTTAGTCTATGTGCGCCCGCTCTAACTGTACTTTCATACATATATACGTTCTAATTCTGAGGTTAGATTTTAAGTGAGGAGTAAAATGTAATAATGCTGTTAGGACCACACCGCTTGAACGTGAAGTTACAATTTTAATGGAGGTGGCATTTTACGAAAAGTATTTTTTTTAAAGGCCTACAAGCTAAAAAATAATATAGTCTTATTTGAATTAGTTTTTTATCTGTTGTATATTTTTTGAATTTATGGAAGGGGGTAGCTGTCCCCCCTACCAACACCTGGCTATAGTTTATAGCTGTTGTTCGCGACTTCGCTCGCGTGAAATAATAACAATATAGCCTATGTTACTCAGTGATAACATAGCTTTTTAAAGGTGCAAGAATTTTTGAATTCGGTCCAGTAGTTCTTGAGTTATTACAATACATAAAAATACAAATCTTTCCTCTTTATAATATTAGTATAGATATAGACGAATCAAGATAAATGCAATTAATTTTAAATAACTTTTCTTATATATTTTGTCTGTGCTCTTGCAATCAGATGCGGCATTATTAAGTGGTGTTTAATAAATTATTTCTATATTCCTTGATAAAGTCCCGAGTATCGGGCGCATACACAAAGTGAAGCGACAAAAATATAAATCCATACTGGACGCCATATTCCAAAAGAAAAAAAAAACGTCGACTGTTAAATATATGTGAGTTTTGTCGCGAGCCGACAGCGGTGGCGGTTATAACGCGTTTTGTTCCACCCTGGACAGAAGAAGATTCTAAATTTGAAAATATATAATGATTTTTACTTTTTATTAAATCAATTGTTTTAAAATACGACCAGTTCAAACAAAAGCCGCGAAAAACTGACTTCAACCAGGCAGCTAATAAATCCAATCTTTAAAAAAAAGTAAAACAAATTACAATCAAAATATTATATTTTTTAATTAAATTTTTAATCAAGAAATACTTATTAGTGTACAGCTTAATAGTTGCTTTCTTATAAAATATATAAAAAAAAAGTCGGTCGTAAATAAGACGCAACAAGTTGATTGACATCGGCATTTAATTTTTTACTATGGTCACATTTTGTGTGAACGAATCGAGCTGTCAAAATAAAATTGATAAATTTATTAGCTAAAATAAGAAGCTATAAAATAATAAATATGCAAATCGAATCGGGTGTTGAAATCAGATGTAATATGTTTTTATTGATTTTCTCTAGGAAATCGTTTATATTTATTTAATACGGATCGTTTATAATTATTTAATCGTTTATTTAATACGGAATGTAGATTATAAAATATAAACACAAGAATAATTGTTGCTATTTAAATCGATAAAATTCGAACGCGGTAAAACAAAATGACACTTACTTTTTAAGGCAAAAGTTTTTACGAATTCTGCCACTGCTTTTTTTTACAGTAAAAGATTTCACAAATTCTGCCACTGTTTTTTTTTTACAGTAAAAGATTTCACACATTCTGCAACTTTTTTAATTAAAAATAACTGGCTATAGTTGCTGTTTATATTATAATGAACTCGAAGAATTCTGTAACAGAACACGTCAGTCAAAAACCGTTAGCACGACGGTTTCAAATTAATTTTTAACATTTCATAATTGGTTGATATTATATTTATTTTTATAAGGTAAACTTGCACAAAAGTAATGAGCACATATGGAAGTAGACGCCTTAAGATATTATCTCCAGTTTCTTTGCCTTTGGGTCACGGCTTTGTATTTCTATTCCTAAAAGTATGGATTACCTACAAATATAAACAGTTACATACCTGTGTTAAAATAATGTTGAATAACCTCTTTCATTGTATTAACAGATTTCTTAAACAAAAAGCCATATAATCCGAAGAAACAAAACTGTAATTAAAAATGCTACTTGCACGGTTACCGTTTTTTCACCGCATTTTGTTAACTTCCAAAGAACGCTTTTGTTATCGCTAATAACCATTATAAAAAAAAACTAATGTCATTCTATGAATTTGACACTTTTTCATTGTTTTGTATAAGAGATTTGTGCACTTTGGTTTTTTTACAATTTGTTATTGATATTGTTTACAAAGGATATAGTTAATTTTCGAGAATGTCTAAACGGAAATTGAATTTATAGAATTATTATAGTTAGGTTTTCATTACGACTAATATTAGTGGTTAAATATCTAGCTTACGATTTAGGCATGGCTTCATTTCCTAATATAACATTATAAATGCGAATGTTTAAATGGATGGAAGGATGGATGGATGTTTGTTAGAGTTTGTAGCCTAAACGGCTAAACGGATCTCGATGAAATTTGGCATGGATGTACAGGATAGTCTGGAAGAACACATTTTCTTATTTTTGTTTTTTTAATTCCACGCGGAAGGAGTCGCGGGCGAAAGCTAGTAATTTGTATAATTGAAAAAAAAGTAAAAGAATATAAATACTTCTTGTATTATAAAGCATAAATATTACATCTTAATAATTTATTACAATTAATATAATAAAAAAAAAAACATTAAAATAAATTATTAAAAAGAAAATTGAAGTAGTTAATTAAAGCCGTGTGGCTCCGGCACGTGCCTCTGCCCTAAACGCCGTAAAACAAAGACCATCACCAAATCATCCGTACTAAACCGGACCATCTACTTTAGCACGCCTTTGTTCCACCCACGGAGTAATTTCTTAACAAAAAGGTAAAAGTAAAATTAAACAATAAAGTTAGTACATTATCTAGTTTTTTTTACTATATTTTTTACCTGAAAAATTGTTTGAACGGTGCGGGGTGGGGGCACGAGGCGCGGGGCACAGATGCGCGGCAGTCTCGTCCGAGCCACGCGCGTGTTCGTGTCTATGGCCGCCCCGATCGAAACACAACGAGCTACAACTATTTTGAATTCGTAAATCAATGTGCTCTTTATTATAATATTATTTTAAACAATACGACCTAAATAGCAACGAAATATAAATTAAGACTGTTTGTGATTTGTCAATCAGCAAGGACGTAATTAGGAAATTTATTGTGTTTTTTTTTATAGAATAAAGTTCACAGATAAGATATAAGAAACACAATTATCGTTTTCGTGTCAAGTGATCGATTAGTACTGACGTTTGGTTGAATAGTGCAATATTTTAAAGTTTTTTTTTTTACATCGGCTGTGTTGGGTGGACGAGCTTAAACTTTGGATTTTAACATTTTGAAAAGGTAAGTTGAAAATTTATTATAAAAATTTATAAGCTTTAAAATCGCTGATAGATAGATTATATATTTTTTTAATTAATTCGTTTCGGCCGTAGACAAAGATAATCTACAATCAGACTGACTTATTAATAATTTTTTTATTTTATTTTACCCACATTAATTTTGTCAAGTTGTTAAGTTAGGTTACAATAATAAGTATTTACTGTCAATTAAACTTAAAGTATAGGATTTAAGTTATAAAAAACAATAAAAAGTAAAATGTAACAAAACAGACGCATAGTTTGGATTACGTAACTGAAAACTACAAGATAGGCCTAATTTTTGTTTCATAACATTTTTAAAAAGTAAATCCCAAATATATTATGGATATAATAGGCCTAGTTAGTAATCTGATTATTTTAGTTGATTTTTGTATTCTTTCTCACTTAATACATTGTCAATAAGCGACATTAGCGGGAAAAAATTTCAAATTTCTTTTCCTAATGTGTACTTGATTTTAGGTTATGTTAAATTATTAATTAAATGTTTATGATATTTGTATTATTTTATGTTTTGTAATAACTAAAATACTAAGTAAATTTAAAAAATTCTTTTACTATCAAAAATCTAATAAATAACATAGACTATGTATTACAATTTTTAATTTTCGAGCGGTTGTAGCCGCAAGCAAAAGCAAGTCAAATATAATTTCGTTTAAAAATAATGTATATGAAATTTATTAAAATTATCATCAGATGAAAATATCTTTAACTAATAACGTTTGTCATCAAGAGGGGTAGGCAGACTATGGACTTATTTGACGTGTTCTAGGCGCACCTCCTGCCGTATTCAAGATATCTAGAACTATCCGTCGCAAAATGTGTTTTAAAAACCCGCGTGAAATTAAAAAATAATACAAAATATAGTCTATGTTACTCACAGATAAATTACCTTTCTAATGGTGAAAGAATTTTTAAAATCGGCCTAGTAGTTTTTGCGTGAATTAAATACATACAAAGAATCTTTCCTCTTTATAATATTAGTATGTTTATCTCTAAGGGTTATTTAAAAGGAGTATAAGGTTTTCTAATATGGCAAGAAGCTCGTCCGTATTTTCGCCCGATTCCAAAGTGTGAGTGTTTTAATGTCCAAATATAATACAATAAACAAACCTATACATGGCGGCCATTTTGTTATTTTCATTTTTCAATTATTTTGTCTAATTTGTTAGGTTATGTAAGGTTATATTGTAAAATCTATAGCTTGTTAGCAACAATGCTATGAAAATATTTATCCTAATAATATTGTCATACTAATATTATAAATGCGAAAGTTTAGATGGATGTTTGTTAGAGTTGTAGCCTAAACGGCTGAACGGATATCGATAAAATTTGGTATAGATGTAGAGGACAGTCTGGAAGAACACATAAGCTAATTTTTTTTAATTTCACACGGCCGGAGTCGCGGACGAAAGCTAGTAGGTACTATAAATCTGGAAGTTTGTATGAATATTTGTTAATAAATATTAAACTTTCGGGTATACAATGACTTAGATACTTTTGTTTTTTTTTTAAAATTCCGCGCGGACAAAGTCTCGTTATAAGTACATGCGCGCTATAACACTGTAACAAAAGGTAAAATTATCACAATTATTTAAAGACAAGTAGCAGGAATTATTATTTTTAAGTATGCTGTAAATATATATTTTTATCAATTGCATTCTTTATCTACAAGATAAGTGCGACGGTTTCGTTGAAAAATTCGATAAAAATGATAATTAACAACCAAAAGGACTAAATTAATAAATATACTATTGTATATTTCTTAATCTATACTTCTATACTATTATAATAAAGCGTAAACACACACTTCTTTGTTGCCTAAGATGTCAGCAATTACAGAATATTTTTGAATAATTCTTCTTTTAATAAAAAGCCCTACACTTACGTCACGCTTTAAGCTATATATTTTCATGTCATTAAACATATTTTGGATAAAAACCATAATGTGGGAAAGAGACCAAAGTTGCTGCCAACATCAAGAAAGCAAGATTGCTAAGGTTCGTCATGTCATGTCCTTTTGACATTTGCTATTGACAATTTGACAAATGTAAACATTAAAATAAAATTTTCACAATTTCATGCGGATGAAGCCGCAAGGGAACAGCTAGTTTTAAATAATGCTTCAAGACCATAGACCATAACTCGCTTCAGACAGTGCTATATGTAAATATACTAAATCCTTTTATAACAGAAGGGGTTAAGGAGATTTAACACCGAGGTGATCAAGAATCAAGAAGTATTTAAAAATATACTGTTATCTTAGGTAACAAAGAAGTGTGTGTTAACGCTTTATTATAATTGTATAGATTACTTGAATTAAATTCGTTTTTTGTGTACAAATATGCTATAGGTTATGTTTTTGAAACTCAATTTTATTTTTAAAATTAACTTGCATGTTAACGTAATTTGAAATGTTAACCTTAATAAAGACAGGTAATTCCGACGACTGGTTTCTTTTTAATTTCATCTCGTAATTTATCAGGCGTTGTAGTGGCCAGTAACGATTTTTTTAATATCACTTTGCACCTATTTTTAAAAACAAAATTCGTTCACGGTTTGAAAAAAGAATTTGAATTTTTTTTCGTAATAAATGCTTGCAATTTTTCTTTTAAATTTATGATCATGTCTTTCCAATGTGCCTAGTTACAATACTAATTAAAATGTTCTAATTTTTATTAAACAACTAGCTGTTGCTCGCGACTTCGCCCGCGTTAATAAATAAAAAAAAAAACGAAAAATTACCGTTCTAACGGTGAAAGAATTTTTAAAATCGGCCCAAACATTTTTGAGTTATTTCAATACATGTAAATATACAAATCTTTCCTCTTTATAATATTAGTACAATAGATAATTTCTAGAATATACAGACTACATAAAATGCGGGCGAAAAACTACCCTCTCGGTCGGGCAAAAATCATAGTACAGCGTGATAAATTTCCCATTGTAGTCAAGGCACTTCAGACCCCCGGGCTTACCGCCTCTCCTGTCAAGTTTCGGGGGTACAAAACACCCCTAAGTTTTAGAGGCGTGGCGAATCGAGACACGCCTCTAAGGGTTGTAATTTATGATTTTCAAACCCCAGTGTGGTGTTTTGATATATTGTTTATAGGGTTACCGTATAGTTTTCTTCTTCAAAATATTGTTCACTAGCTGTTCCCGTGCGGCTTCATCCGCATGAATTTTTGAAAATTTCATTTTATTCACATTTGTCAAATTATCAATTGTAAATGTCAAAATGACATGATATGATGTCAAACCATGGCAACCTTGCTTCCTTGATGTTGGCAACAACTTATGGTCTCTTTCCCACACTTGGGTTTTTATCCAAAATATTTACCCCTAAGTTTAACGGCGTGAAAATATACAGCCTAAAGCGTGACGTAAGTGTAGGACTTTTTATTAAAAAAAGGGTTATTCGAAAATATGCTGTGATTGCTGACATCTTACGTCACAAAGTAGTGTGTGTTTACGCTTTATTATATTAGTATACATTTAATTATTAAAACAAATACATCTTACTAAAAGTTTAGATGCATGTTTGGTAGAGTTTACCCTAAACGGCTGAGTAGATCTCGATGATTGTATAGACGTAGAGGATAGTCTGGAAGAACACATAAGCTACTTTCTTTTGTTTTCTTACGTGTGAAGTCGCGAACAAAAGCTGTTATAAAAATAACGATTCTATTTTGTTTCCGAGAATAACTGTTCCGATCTGAAATTAAAGAATAGGTTTCTCCCAGAGACCTAAAGACCTATATACTGTCTTTAGTAAATACACAAAACGAGATTTTGTTTTTAAATTCATCTAGATTTGATTAATAGCATTAGGATAAGAATAAAATACTAAAAGTAAATCTGCCAACGTTATTAGAATGGACTCGCGAACCATGCTTATAACAGCAATTTTCACTACCGAAATACTTACAAAAAACAAGACGATATAGGAGCTTATTGTAATTGTTTTATTACGTACTAAAACTATAAAATATATAGCCTGTGTTAGTTACAGATAAATTACCATTCTAACGGTGAAAGAATTTTTAAAATGGTCCCAGTAGTTTTCGAGTTATTTCGATATATACAAAAATTCAATACTTCCCTCTTCATAATATCTCTATAGATCAAAACAAGGACACGAGGTGGCACTAAACTTGACAACTGACATAGTACCTCTCAGAGATAGTATCGGTAAAAAATATGTCCACTGCCTCGTCTATATATTATTTTAATCTCTTTGAGATGAACTAATTTTTGTACAAATAAAATGTAAACAAAAGAAGAATTATAGACAGGAATAACTGTACGATATCGTTTTTTACTCAGTAGTTGAATATAATTTTATAACAAATAATAGAAGATAACTACGACTTCTGACAACTTTAATACTCGATATATCAAATGTTGATAACGAAATTATTTTTATAATTATCGTTATCAACCGTTATATACGCGAGGGTTAGAACAAACAATCGGAGAACACAGAAATTAGTTTCTCCTTTCTTCCGTCATAGATGTTAAATCTACTATCCGTTTCAATACTTTTTTTAAATCATAAGGTGGCAAACGAGCAAGCGGCCACCTGAATCCGCCAAAATGCGAAGCGACAGCCCATAGACATTCGCAATAGCGGATGCGTTCCATATCGACAGAGGAGGAGACGCACATAAAGAGCATATATCCCGTCTATGCGTCTCCTCCACCGTCAAATTCACGGTCCCTTTTCATCCTATTATGAGAAATAGGGTGAGAAGGAAAAGGGACAAACGTTGGGCCACCGGCACCACACTCATCAGACGAAACGCGGAAAAGCTTCCACTTCACGCCTGTCTTCTGTTTGGTCGTGGTATTACACCGCGCCGGCCCATTCGTGCGAAGTTGTTAAAGCGGGCACTACCACTGCACTTTCCTTATAATAATGTAGGTATGAAAAGGCGAAAATTAGACCTCTGTCCTTTTTAAGAT